TCTCCATCAGTGAGTTAGTGATCTGGGAGAGCATGAAGCAGAGGGGCCAGGAGCCCCTTGATGGACACGAGATTTCCAAAGCTTACAAAAATACCTACACTGCATCTGGCTCTGAAACTGCTCTCTCAACAGATTTGTACCTCCCACCGATGACAGCCATTTGGTTTCATATGGGTTTTACCATCAATATCTTTGCTTGATATAAGACAAGGGGTTTGCTTTCCAAACACTGATGCCTAAAAATTTTGAACTTTAGAAACACACACTTAAGAGCACTTTTGTGGTGGATGTTAATGTTTGAATGTTTCGCTGACACTGGCTTAAGAAGATGAATGTGGAAGTGATGGTCTGCTGCCAATGTTCTCTAATTATTCTTACAGTTGATTGGAAGGAAAGGGTGATTAATAAGCACCAAGATGATACTACATGTTATTCTTGATAAAGTAACTAATGATACATAGGAAATCTATTTCTGTGAAGAAAAGTGAAGCTAACATTTTATTTTTGGTCCCGTTTGGTAAATGACACATACCCCTCCTTGTTCAAAGATGCCATCTGTCAGCAAATATAGGTCAGTCTTACTGGGGATAAATCTATTGTTCCTTTGATATACACACTTTTATTACTAAATGGACCTTTTCTATGATGCTCTTGGCAATATTTTAGCTCCTTCTGAAGCCAATATTTCAGCTTTTCCTGTGCTCACGAGTTGAATGCCACTTATTGATATAGGCATTTCCTTTAATACAGAAACCACTCTCCAAACCTCGGTTACCTCTGGATACTAAGAATCCAGGATCAGGGGGCCTTCAGATCAAGATGGAGGAATAGACGGTCCCCAGCGTCACTCTCTCCCACAAATCAACCAATTTACAACTATTAAAAAGCAATGACAGACAAGCCAGGACCACTAGAGCTCAGGGGAAGAACAGGAGAGACCTAGAAAGTTCATGAAGGCAGGAGAAGCCACGATGAGAGAAAGGAAGGATGATTCTAACCATTTCAAACCCCCAGCACTTCAAGGCTGGCCCTGGTGAGCACACAGGGCAAAAGCTGGCAAAAGCCACTGCTGTGCTCTCCCTATGAAATTTCTTGGAGACTGCAGTGGAGAAGTGTCCTTCTACAGGGTTCCTGTTAGTGGATCCACATAGGAGTGAGGAGCCACAGACAACTGAAAAAAAGGAGCCACTCAGAAGTCAGTGACTCACTGCAAGGGACCAGCACACGGCCTACCCCATGGGATGTGTTTGGAGTGTGGGTGGTGGGGGAGACAGGCCCACCAGGGGAACACTGGGGTGCAGCAAGGACAGCTGATCTGCCCCCCAATCAGCGCAGGACCACTCAGTGGAGACTGGTCAGGAATATAGAACTGCAGGGGGTGCAGTTTGATGAAAATACTCAGGCCCAGATCAGAGTTTCCACACAACCCAGGTGTACTGGATCTCACAAGATGCAGAAGTACACACAAGGTCAACGATTAACATCTGAATTGCATAAAAAGCCTTCCGAGAATCAGCAGCAAAGCAGCAATTTAGCTCAACCACAGAGCTCAAGTGCTGGTCCCCACAGGAAGTTCCCCCATCTTAGAAGTAACCAAAAAACGACAATTAGATAGTGCACAATTTAAGTGTTTGGGGTAGCTAATAATCCAACACAGAACTGAAAGAAAAAAAAAACACCCACAGATCAGAGAAAAAGTCTAATATTAACCAGTAAAGGTCTAACAC